ACCCCGAGCCCCGGCCCCCGAGCCGACCCCCAGCGGTCGCGGCCGCTCAGAGCACCTCGCAGGGGCGGGGCGGCCAGCTCCCAAAGGGCGACCTTCCTGCCCGGATGGGACGCTCAGGGTGACTCGGGCAGCCCCCAGGGCCAAGACGGTCGCCGAGAAGCCCAGGCCCCACTCTGACCCCGGACCCGCGCAAGTGTAGAGCAGCCCCACAGCCCCTGCCCCTACAGCACTCGGAGAACCAGCTCTGAGAAGCTGGGACTGGCGTCCACTGTCACACGCTTGTGACGCCTCCTAACTAGGTGTGGCCCTCGCCCCAGCTCCCTAAACTTTGCTCAGGGTTCCGGAGAGAGAATCTGGGATACCTGGGCCTACCTAATTGTTGGCAGGAAACGGGCAATTAATTAATCATTAAGAGCCGCTTGGGCCCTACGGGGCCGGAGGAGGCTGGAGGTTTGCTTCGAGTCTGCCCCCGGTGGCCCTGGTCCCAGCATTACCCAAGAGCACCCCGAGATTGCTGCAGCAGGGGCGCCCAGGGGGTTATCTGGGCCAGGAGATAAGGCTTCTTTGAAGGAAGTAAGGAACGAGCAGAGGGTATGATGGGCTAATCTGATTCCATTTACCAGATGCCCCATGGTGTGGTCACTGCAAGGCTCTGGCCCCTGAGTATGCCAAAGCCGCCGGGAAGCTGAAGGCGGAAGGCTCCGAGATCAGGCTGGCCAAGGTGGACGCCACCGAGGAGTCGGACCTGGCCCAGCAGTACGGTGTCCGAGGCTACCCCACCATCAAGTTCTTCAAGAACGGAGACACTGCCTCCCCCAAAGAATACACAGGTGAGGCTGGAGGAGGTAGGTGGGGTGCCTCCAGGAGAGAGGACCTTGCCTAAGGGAGGAGCTCCACTTGGGAAGGCCTTCCCAGACCCTACCTCTGTGTTTTCCTGCCGGAAACGTTCTGTCCTGGGCAGGGTGCTGTGGGCTCTGCAGCTGGAAGAGGGTGGCCATGTGGACCTTTGGCTTGTCACTATCTGTCCCGTGCTTGGAGGACACTAGTTAAGAAGCTGAGGCTTAAGGGGTCATGGTCCTGGGCCTAGCATCTGTCACAACACTGGTGACCGCTCTGCTCCATGCAGACCCTCCTGTCTGTCCAGGCCAGGGGCTCGCCTGCTCCTCTCCATTTGCCCTTTCAGGCCAGCAGAGAAGCCAGGTGGCCCTCCGTGGCCACGCTGGTGCCCATGGCCTGGAGGAAAAGGATGATCCATGCCACTGGACACCACAGCCTGTGTCTAGCCGCCCAGGGAGCTGGTGCATGTCCCCACGGTGGCTCTGCCTTGTCATTCTTTCAACGGCCCGGTTGTAATTGTCTTTGGGTCTAGAGTGGGTCACCCAAATGGGTAGGTTTGGTAGGTGGGACACCTGCTGCTCACAGCCGGTGACTCAGCTCTGGGCCCTTTTGACTCTGAGACCTGGCACCCTTCCACAGCGAGCCCAGCAGTCGGCCTGAGGAGGTGAGTCTTGGAAGTCGGCTTCCTTGCGCTCCTGTTGTCTTTGCTTTTGAGCCGTCTGTGCGGGTCAAGGACACTCTGTGAAGCCAACTTGCCCTTTCCTGTTGTGTCTTATTTTTCCGAAAACAAGGGGGAACCTTCCTCAGACCTTCGGAGGGAAGGCACGTGTTGCGTGTTTGGTGAACTTAAACGCCCATTAAGGTTGAGAACCCAGGGAAGTCAGCTGGGTGGGTCATTTGTCACCCCATGCGCTGGGCAGTCCAGTGTTAGTGGCCAGCCTGGCTAGCACAACCAAAAGCAAGAGGTGGGCTCCTGGGGCCGAGGGCGCGCAGCCTCAGCCAGCACCTGCCTGTGTTTGGCGCAGCCGGCAGGGAGGCTGATGACATCGTGAACTGGCTGAAGAAGCGCACAGGCCCTGCTGCCACCCCGCTGGCCGACGGGGCCGCTGCGGAGTCCTTGGTGGAGTCCAGTGAGGTGGCCGTCATCGGCTTCTTCAAGGTAGATGTGGGAGCAACACTCCCAACCCCTGCTCCTGCTGTCTGGTCTGACGTGTGGCCTGCCAAGGCCCCAGTGGGTGGACTGAGGGGCTGCAGGCCGCTGCCACTGGACCATGTGACCACCCTGTTCTTCCTCTTACAGGACTCTGAGTCGGACTTTGCCAAGCAGTTCTTGTTGGCGGCGGAGGCTGTTGACGACATCCCGTTTGGGATCACGTCCAACAGTGACGTGTTCGCCAAATACCAGCTGCAGGAGGATGGCGTTGTGCTCTTGAAGAAGGTGAGGCTGCATGTCCTGCTGTCGTCCAGGTGCTTCCCCACTGGGCTGGGAGAGCCTTGCTCAGGCCCCGGGGGCGGCACATACTGCAGGCTGGGGGACTGCCCCCACAGAGGGACGCACAGCTAGTGCTGACGGGGAGCTTTGTGGGGGTGCCCACCCTGCGCCCCATCCCGAGGGTGCCTGCAGACCTCGGGACCCTGTGAGGGCCCGGTGCTGAATGCTGGTGGGGCCCTGAGGTGGGGGGGAGTGTCTCTGCACCTTTTATCTTGGTCCCCAGGTGGGCAGGTGGACCCTCACTGTTGTCTGGAAGTGTGTGTTTCAGCAAGGCACCTGCAGAAAGGAGAGCAGGGTTGGGGGCAAGGCGGGAGTGGGTCTCTGTGCCAGCAGTTATCAACCTGTGGGTTGCGACCCCTTTGGGGTCAAAATGACTGTGATGAAGTAGCAACAAAAACAATGGTATGGTTGGGGGGTCACCACAACCTGAGGAACTGTGTGAAAGGGTTGTGGCATGAGGAAGGTTGATGACCGCCGCTCTGTGCTGCCTCAGCTTGCAGCCGAGGGACCTGGAGGCTGCAGGTTTTGAATGGATTGATGGTTGCCAAGGGCACACACAAGTGTGTGTTGGTGCCCTTGAGGGATGGGCTGCTTAGAGTTGGCCTGAGGACTGCCCCCTTCCAGGAACCTCTCCCACCTCCCTGCTCAGCGTGGAGCACCCAGGCAGCTGCCGGACTGCTTTTTCTCAGGCCCGTGCCGGAGACAGCCCAGCTCAGGTCCCCTCCTGTGACTGGGGGCTGGCTGCTAGTGGCCTTCGCCAGCTGGAGCTGAGCTCTGTCTGAAGTGAGCTTTGTGATGTGGCTGCCCTGTGCTCAGGTGGCAGGGCAGGGGCCCAGGTGATAAGCCATGGTGTCCTCGGGCAAAGGTGCCCTGAGTTGTGGACTTTGCTTCCTGACAGCTGCGGGGTGGCCAGGAGAGGGCGCTTCTGAGGCAGGTGGAGCTGGGTGGGGACAGACTGCACAGGGCAGGGCCCCACCCCATGACACCCTCAGCCTTGGGTCCTCAGCCACCCACACACGACAAGCTGGGCAAGGGCGTCCGTCCTTTCTGCTCTAGCATAGGGCCTGCCAGACGTGCGGGAGCAGCTTTTTTCCTGCCGTGCCTGCGTCTGCAGGGCTGCCTCTGTAAGGGCTCTGCCGGGCAGTTGGGCTGCAGACAATGCTAGGCTCACCGTTCCCTAATGCCCGCCTGGGGCAGGTGGGTTGATGGAGCTGTCCAGTGGGCAGGCCTACCCGTGGAGAGGCCCTGTCTCGGCTGGTGGGCTGGTGGCCTGGGTAAGGTGTAACGTGTGAGCCCCTCAGAGTTGGCTCTGCAGGCAGTGGGTGGCCTGACAGCCACCCTGAGAAAGGGACAGAAAAGGACTGGGAAAGGGAGATGGGCCGTCTGTCCCCTGTCGGCCACTCTTGCATGGGCTGTGCTACTGGCCTGAGCCCAGACCAGGCCCTGAGGTCACGACTGATGTCCCCTGTGGAGTCAGGCCCGCGGGCCAGGTGGTGGCCATTGTGAGAACTGCTGTGTGCCTTGCTCAGGAGGGTGGCTGGGGACGTATGTCTCAGGGTGGATCCAGGGCGTATCGCCCTGACGGAGGTGTTCATGGATGGAGCAGGATTGGGGCTTCCTGGAGCACAGCTGGGCGCTCCGGAGGGCGGCCTCAGCTGCGAGGGGTCATGAGTTGGCGTGTCACTGGGGAAGCTGAGCTCCTGCCAGGCACCCTGTGGTCACAGAGCCCCGACCTGACACTGCCTCTCTGTCTCAGTTTGACGAAGGTCGGAACAACTTTGACGGGGAGCCCACCAAGGAGAGCCTCCTCAACTTCATCCGGCACAACCAGCTGCCACTGGTCATCGAGTTCACCGAGCAGGTAGGCGGGCAGAGCAGCGGGGAGATGGCGATGGGTCCAGGGTCGGGGCCTGCAGGCCGCCTGACACACCTCTCTCTCTCAGACAGCCCCGAAGATTTTTGGGGGCGAGATCAAGACTCACATCCTGCTGTTCCTGCCCAAAAGCGTGGCCGACTATGACGGCAAGCTGAGCGGCTTCAAGCAGGCAGCAGCGAGCTTCAAGGGCAAGGTTGGCCGGACCCTCCAGGAGAGCTGCGCGGTGTTGGGGGCAGGAGGCGGCAGCAACCCTGGCTCAGCGTGTTGGGCAGGGTGGGGGTTGTCCAGGTGCCTGGGAGTGGTTCTCCTGGATGTTGACGGCCACCTCTCAGTGTTCTGTGGCGGGTTCAGGGGCGTCCAGGGGCCGTTCCCGCCTCAGCCTGCCTCTCCTCCCCAGATCCTGTTCATCTTCATCGACAGCGACCACGCTGACAACCAGCGCATCCTCGAGTTCTTCGGCCTCAAGAAGGAGGAGTGCCCGGCAGTGCGCCTCATCACCCTGGAGGAGGAGATGACCAAGTTCAAGCCCGAGTCGGACGCGCTGACTGCCGACAGCATCAAGGACTTCTGCGACCAGTTCCTGGCGGGCAAGATCAAGGTGAGAGCTGGCCCACGCCCTAGGGGGCTCAGTCGCCCGCTGGAAGCCGGGGCATCGCAGGCCCCAGCTGCCCGGTGACGCAGACCTCTGCCGTAGCCCCACCTGATGAGCCAGGAGCCGCCCGAGGACTGGGACAAGCAGCCAGTCAAGGTCCTGGTCGGGAAGAACTTTGAGGAGGTGGCGTTTGACGAGAAGAAGAACGTCTTTGTGGAGTTCTGTACGTGCGCCGTCCTCCGCGTGGCGTGCACGGGGTGGGCTCTGCGCCTTGCCTGGGATGGACCCCAGAGCTGCTCTCCTTGCAGATGCCCCCTGGTGCGGTCACTGCAAGCAGCTGGCGCCCATCTGGGACAAGCTGGGGGAGACGTACAAGGACCATGACGACATCATCATCGCCAAGATGGACTCCACGGCCAACGAGGTGGAGGCGGTGAAAGTGCACAGCTTCCCCACGCTCAAGTTCTTCCCCGCCAGCGCCGACAGGACGGTGGGTGCCTGC